TTTACAGAGTCAGCAGTACATATGCTGACTCTGTAAACCGCTTAGAGAGGGCTGAAAGCCCTATGAAGCGGTATATAAGTCTAACTGCTATTGCTATTGCTATTAAAACCTGGCTGTTCCGACAGGCCTGGGGCTAAAGAGCTTTTGCCCCCCTCCTCGAATGGTATGGTTGTTGTGTGTTTTTAAATTGTGTATTGTTATGTTTCGTCTTTTTATCCCCTGTCTGTACCCCCTTCCCTGCCTGAATTGTGAGCCGCCCTGAGTCCCCTTCAGGGAAAAGGGCGGCATATAAATGAAATAAATCCTAATCCTAATCCTCCCTGCCTCCGATTTGGAAATTAAGGCTGGCTTCCCCCTCAGCCCCGCTCTCCATCGCAGAGCTCATAGCCTCGATCGGAAACCTACGAAGAGGGGTAGGGGAGCACAGGAGATGCGCTCGCATTTTCCCATCCAGACCACTTCAAATCTACAACGCCGCTTTTTCAGAATGCTGCGCCAAAACCCTTTTCTGGGGAGGAAAGCCACCCTTCGTGGAGGGCCATCCACGGGGGCCAGAGGTTGGGTGGGTTTCCTCCTGCCGCTGACGTTGCCTCGCTGCCACCTGACAGGCGAAGTAGGGGAGACGGTCCCTCTTTCTCGCGGGGGGGGGCGCCCTCCTGGAAGGGATCTCGCCACTCCCGCTTCCCCTCGGCGCGCTCCCCGGGGGGGGGGACAGATGTTAAACTCTGCCCCCCCCCTCCGGAACAGGGCAGCGAACGGCGAGCGTCCCGAGCAAGGCGGCGGGGAGCAGCGGCAATCAGGGCAGGGGATTCGGCCGGTGCCAGGCGCTTCGGGGAAGAGCCAGGGAGGGTTCTGACGCCGCCGTCTTCCGCGCGCTCTCCGCCCTCCCCGCTCGCGTCAGTCCACCCGCCGCCGCCGCCGCCCTGGCCGCTTAGGCCCGGTGGCGTTCCGGGAAGCCGCGCCAGTCCGCCCCGCCGCGCGCGCCGCGGTCTGTCCAAAGTGCCGCCGCCAGCCAAGGCCGAGCATGGAGCGGTCCAAGACGGGCATCCAACGCCCTGTCGCAACCTCGCCGCCGTCCCCGTAGAGCCGCAGCGGCGGGAGCGAGTGCCAGGTAGGCCCCCCCCGGGTTCTCTCTTTCTCCGTCCCTCGCGGAAGAGGGCTGCTTGGGGCCGTCGGGGAAGCCGTCGGGGAAGCCGTCGGGCGGGCGTCGAGGGGCGATGCTTGGGCTCGAGGGAGCGGCGGGCGCACCACCACGCCCCCTTTGCGGGCAGCCCTGCCCCTCCGGCTGCGGTCAGTCCCCGGGAAGCCCTCCCGCATGCCGCCACGAGCTGGCCGCGCAGTTCTCCGGGTGCCGCCCCGTCCCGTGGAGCGCGGAAGGCAGAGGAATGAAGCCAGGGATGGAAGCCGCTGCACCTTGCGGTCCCCTCGGTTTCACGGGCAGCTCTGGCGTTAGCCCGGGCCGGCCAAGAACGTGCGGGTTTCTCTGGGGACGCGGGGATACCGGCTGGTGGGAAGTTGCTAGGGCTCCGCCTCCTCTCCGAGCGGGCCTGTCCCCTCTCTCTCCCCGGCCAGAGCGCTGCGGTCTCCGGAGCCCCTCCCGAGCGAAAGAGAAAAAAGGACTTCTCTCCTTGAAGCAGCGTTCGTGGGAGAGAGCATCGGGCGGCGGCAGAACTGGGCTGCCGGCTGCAGGGAGCTTTACCGCGGGCCTTCTTTCTTCCAGCCCAATTTAGCAGGTGAGTCTGCCTGCCCTCCGTCCGCTGGCCCAGCCTGCCTTCTGGCGCCGCGTTCTCCCTTCATTCCTTAGGATAAGTCGCGGGGCGGCGGCCTCTCCCCGTTACCCCGGTACCTCCGCGGCTCAGGTGATGCTGGGGAAAGGAGCGAGGGGAAGGGGGCGTCAGAAGCCTCCTTTGCGGACCCCCGACCTCTCTCCTCCCCAGGAGAAAGGAGCGGCCTTCACCCCCCCACCCACCTCCCAGGCAAGGGAAAGAGAGCTTGGCGGCCTGGCCGGGCACTTGCGCTGTCCTTAGCAAGGGGTGTCCTTGTGTTGCTGCCTGCAAGGCTTCCAGATCGAGGGTTGGCCCGGGGGGAGGCCTGAGACACCCCCCCACCCCGCTTTCCTCTCCGGGATCTGAAAAACTGGCGAGGAGGAGCGATTTCCCCCCCCCCCCGAGCCACGGAGGAGAGAGAGGTCTCTTTGGTGGACGCTGCTGGGGAGGGGGAGGGAGAGAAGCGCGTGCCAGCCCATCTTGCTCTGCTGCTCTCCCAGTAACCGGACAGAAATTCCAGCCCCCTCTTTCTATTGGGGGGGGCGTCCTTTCCCATATTCTCAGTTTTTGGCTGGGGAGGGATGTTGTGCAGGGGGAGGGGGGAGAAGCTTGTGCCAGCCTATCTTGCTCTGCTGCTCTCCCAGTAACCGGACAGAAATTCCAGCCCGCTCTTTCTATTGGGGGGGGGGGTTTCCTTTCCCATATTTTTGGCTGGGGACGGATGTTGTGCAGGGGGAGGGGGGCACTAGCTGAGCTGAGCATCAGGGAGGTCTGGCGGTTGGCATGGATGCTGTGGAGCACGGGGGGGGGGGGCCTACGCTGGGGCCTTCTCTTGGGGTGACAAGGCAAGGCAAGTAAGCAGGGTGGTGGGAGAAGGGAAAAGGACGGCAGGCCTGAGCCGGCTCCTGCATGGGGGGAGCCTTTCTTGTTATTTTCTTTTAAGAATTTTTTTTTAAAGAAACAAGCACAGATAAATATAAAACCATCTTCCAGTTACATCCAGTGTGTCAATTGGTTACAAAACTTTTGTGCATCCTCTCTCTAGTCTTCACTTACAATTTATATAGAATCTCATATTATCAGTCTGGTATATACTGTATGTATATAGTTATTATCATTGTCAAACGTTTATTTGACGATATTATTTCATTTTATGTGAGATAGTCTAAGTTTTTAATAAATTTATATTAGGGCATTTCGTTACATCATCTTAAAATCCATCCAGTTAGCAGTACCTCTTTATGTTATAGTCTCTATCATCCCATTATCCTTGGATTGTAAAACTCTCTAGCACAGTGTTTCTCAACCTTGGCAACTTGAAGATGTCCGGACTTCAACTCCCAGAATTCCCCAGCCAGCGAATGCTGGCTGGGGAATTCTGGGAGTTAAAGTCTGGACATCTTCAAGTTGCCAAGGTTGAGAAACACTGCTCTAGCATATTTCAGCCCTTCTGTAAGAACCTAGTCATTTTCAGCTTGGGGTGCTGAGGGAGGGAATCGGGGAAGGAAGAGGACTGCCAGAGCACAGAATTGGCCACTCACTCCGGGTAAGGCCTCAGTGCCATTGGCCACTTCAGTAAAGATTCCCACCCCATCTGATACCTATAAATGTGGCGCACAGGTTAGCACAATGCCTGTTGCATCATTACCTGCACACGGTTCACCGACAAATGCGCGCTAGTCAAATGCG